GGTTGACCTAAATCATGTCGACTAATTCATAAAAAGATATTGAGTATCAATTCCCACATTTTTGGTCGTCTAATTTGCTTGTGGGCTATTTTAGTAGGCCCTTGTTTCCACATGACTGAGAGTTCGACAAAAATAAATCAAACAATTGGTATTTAAGCTCAATGTATATCGGTTACATGTCAGTATTTAGACAGCCGCGTATTCATACTGGTCAGTATTTAGACAAATACTGTTTCAACCAATCAGAATCGAGACAAAGAAGAAATTTATAAATAATTATTACTTATTTTGGATTATTTATGTATTTTCTCGATTCTGATTGGTTCATACAGTATTTGTCTAAATACTGACCAGTATGAATACGCGGCTGTCTAAATACTGGCTGCACTCCATGTATATCTTTCTCCCGGGTTGACTAAAAACGCTACTCATACCTTTTACACTTTTCATATGTGGAAAAATGCTAACTAAACACTGTTCATGCAATTCCACACGCAAGTACAGAAAAGCGAATGAAAAGTCTATGATTGTGATTTTTTATATATATGGAAATTTTATGCCGAGCATTTTCCCATAAACCAAAAAAAAACTAATTTTTAAAATTTAATTTCCTAATATTTTTGGAATGTGTTCGTGACCGAACACAAGTGACAAAAACCAGGGTTTTCTCAAAATAAGAATCACCTAATGCACTTTAATGCATTGGAAACGACCTGAATTAAATAAAAATTTTCTTACACAAATTACACATGAAATCATCAAATTTTGATGATTATTTTCAAAATTTGAATTTTTAATTTATAAGAAAGTGATCAAGGCATGCAAAAACATGTCATAGAGAATAAATAGGAGTTTTTAGCGTTTTTGAAACTTTATGCACACTAAAAAAAATTGCATGTAAAATAAAAAAAAACTAATTTTCGGGGCTATTTCAAAAATTACTTAGACAAAACTTAGTGCAGCCATCAAAAAAATAATAGCCATACAATTTCCAAATATGGAAGGAAATTATAGGGTTAGGATTTTTTGTCAAAAAAGTTTTTCTTTTTTAAAAGATACACCCAGATACGAAAAACCAACTTTTATACCAAAGCAAGAAAAAAAAGCTCTTTGAAAGGTCGATGACACCATTTTAGCAAAATGTATAAAATTTAAAATTTGTATGATTAGTTTTTTTTTCATAGACTAAGGTTTTGTAACTGTATGATTAGCATTCTTGGTCTATGGAAGTCAACCCCGGCTTACACGCAATTTCAATTTTACACTAGCGTTTTATTAATTCTCTTGCTCAATACGGAAATGATTAGATTCAACTATAATCAAAACAGCAACCCATTTCGATTTTTTCTTTAGTGTTACCGGCCAAAAGTACAAAAGTTTATTCGAGTTTCCCCCATTCACCAACAGGTCTGTTGAAATAAATGAATTTAGCTCAGAAAAGATCCCAATTTTTTGTATATCAGAAATTATTTTAATTACCTCTTCTTTCAAAAAACACAAGAAAGTTTACTTTACCCTTGATTTAAACGACGACTTATTTACAAAAATAACTTTTAAAAAACAAATTGTGAGTTTTCTACAAGGAAACTGTTTTTCTCAGATCACTGTGTTTTTTTTGTGGGTTTTTTTGAAGATGAACTCAGAATCTACAAGTCCCAAAAAAACCTGATTGTCGTGATAAGTTTGTTAAATAGACATGATAATAAAGACACGCATCAGTATTTACCAGACCAGGCTACATTAGCAAGAAGACATGACAAGAAAATTTGCAAACGATCAAAGAACGATTGAACAGCGACTATTTGAAGAAAAATTGAAGTACGATACAAAAAACAATTAAGAAAATTGTCACAATTTGAAGAGATTGAAAAATGAAACGGTTGAAAATAATTATTTGAATTGAGAGTTATTCCCAAGCCGTCTATACAAAACGTTTATTTGACAATTGATTTATTTGAAACGACATAAATTGCCTAGCCGATTATTCGAAACAATTATTTGACGAGAATTTTATTTGAAACGGGAGATATTGCCTAGCCGATGGTTTGAATCAATTACTTGAAACGTTTGACGACTATCCGAAAGCAGAGCCTTAACAGTTTTAATCAGCTAAGTCACTTCAAATTATGCAATTGTGCTCAAGTGCCCTGAATGACGTTCCCCAAGAAAAATGCATACCTTACAATTTAATTTACGGGAAAACATGCTTATCATACAGTTTTCACTGCAAAAAGTGAGTGACATTTTTTTTTCGGTCAAATTTTTTTTTCGAAAGTTCTTTTAAGACAGCTTAAAATTTAACCAAAGCAAATTGGTTGCATTTTGGTTTTGAGAGCAAAATGATTTGAAAAAGAAATTGTTTCTGAGCAAAAAAAAAACGCTTATCAAACAATTTGATATACGAAAATTGTAAAACAAAAATGAATTTTCTAAAGAAAACACATAATTTTGATGTGAGATTTTAAAAACCCTTTTTTAATTGCGAACTTGTTTATGTGCTCAAATATACATTTTACAAAAAAATTGCATGCAAAAATTGACATTTTCTGCCTATAATATAGTCCAGGTTGAGTTTTCGAGCCAAAAATTGTTTTTGATGAACACAACTATTTTTTTGTTTTTGTTTGCCAAGATAACTATGAATATATAATACAGGCCTCTTTTTTCAACTACCAAATCTTTCAAAGTAAAGTTTTCATAGATTTTATTGGTAAATAATTCTGTGTGAACAAGTTAACAATCCCACATTGCTAATATCACCAAGTTTAGCTTATCTTCGTAACTGCCAGTTTCACGCTGGGTTTTGTTATGACAAAAATCCTTTTTTTGTTTCGGAAGAGTTATTGTTCCATTTTTATTTATGGAAAAATTGGTTTTTCACTATTTCATAACTTTCTAAAAAAAGCTAATCATGCAATTGATAGTACTAAAAGTTGCGTTTGCTTTTTTCATTAACTTTTTTCCGGTAAAATTTTTTTGGCAAAAGTATCTTCAGACATTTTATTTAACATATTATGTACCCTCTGAGGGTATCGATCTGCTCAAAATGAAATCGATCTGCCTGCTACATTGCATGTTTTGGCAATTCAAAAACTCATCAAATCAGTGAATCACATTTATCAAAAGAGTTTGTCGCGAAAAGAAAAAAAAACAGATTTAAACGCCTTTATAAAGTAAAAACGATCTTATTTTTACGGACATCCAAAAGAAAATTTATTGCGATTTATGCAGAAAAAAGAACTTAATTGCCTTCATATGGCCGAAAAATGGTTTTTGAGAGACCATGAAGCGTTTTTGTTGATGTTGAAAGAATCCGTTTTCAAGTATAATGGAGTTTGTTGCCCAAGTTGGCATCACATTATCAACTGACAACTTTTTTGGCAACTTTTTGTATCGTTTTTCCGACTTTCAAAGAAAGTGACCGAACTTTTCTCGCGGTGACTCTTTTCTCCAGACAAGTTCCGACTTTTTAACTAGCGGTTTTGACAGCATTGTGTTTTTTATCAGCCAAAAGATTTTGATATCTTGAGCTCAGATTTAAAAAATGTTTCACTTGTGATTTTTATTCGTTCAGTTATAAGGGTTTGATGGCTGCCAATTTGGCACATTTGGCACATTAACGTTTAATATATCTTGTTAATAACGCATAAGCGGTAATTAAACCCGTCTTATATATTGATATAAATTGGTTGAAGACGGCTGTTTATCGAAATTGCTACGTTAATAGGAGCGAAGTTCATCATTCTTATTTTATATGGCGTGCGGGTATCTAGAAATCTCAAAGAACTGCAATTTGTTTATTGCAAGCAATGCTCGTTGGGCCTAGAAAAAGGCAGTCAGAACATTCAGGGTATCGCAGTCTGGTTTTATCTATGTAATCAACTTTACCCGGAACCTTCGATGCGGGCAACCAACTTTTTTTTTCAACTAGTTTCTTTGACCATCCGTCAAAATTGCATCCCTGTCCTTCAAATTACTCTAAAAAAATCCAGTAAAAACATAATGACAATTTCCGTTAATTCCATAAGTTGAAAACCAAAAGTAGAATATTTTTTGTCTCGTGACGTCAGTTTTTGTCATACCTGAAAAGTCTCGGTTTTTCTGAACAACTCAGCAACTCGATTGTTTGCCGAGGTGTTCAAAATCGCTTATCATGCACTTTTCATGCAAATCCATGAGTACAGAAAATTACATGAAAGGTCTATAATCAGTTTTTATATATCGTAACTGTATGACTAGTATTTTTCCATAAACCAAATTTTTGATTTTTGGAAATTTACCATCCAGTAGAGTCATCACAGGTTTGACCATCCTTCAATTTTAATGATTTGGAAACGTCATGAATTGTCTTAGATTTATTTTACACAAATAATATAAGGAAAGTATCAAACTTTTAAATTTTGGCAAAATTTTCAAAAATGATCTTTTTAGAGAGATTTTTTAATTGATGATGCGTTGAACGAGGCATACAAACACATGCCATACAAACTAAATAAACGTTTTTGAAAAAAAAAAGTTATGCAACTATTGTGCATCCAGGACTACGTTATTCAAGCAAAAAATTAATTTTTGCATGCAAATTTTTTCGGAAATTGTTTATTTCAGTACAAGTTTCGGGTACAAAAAAAGCAAAAGAAATTGGGGCCATTTCAAAATTTTATAGAAAAATTTTTTGCTGTCGCCATTGAAAAAATGCGAGTCATAGAATTTCCATATATGGAAATTGAATGACTAGCATTTTTTAGACAAAAAAAAATTCTTTGTTAATTATGACGATACACTGACTCATATGTCAAAACAAGAAAAATGTTCTTCGAAAATTCGATGAGTCCATTTCAGCAAAATGTATGAAAGTTGAATGAGAAGTAGACTTTGTTTTTTTTTGAATTTCATGCTTTTTTTTTATCTATGGAGGTCAACCCGTGTGTTTTGTTTCCTGCGTTCTTAAAGATGTAAATAGCACTTCATTTCTTCGAAGAAAAAAAAACAGTTTGATTTTCTTGAATTATATACAAGACTATGTAAACATACAATATTGACAATGGACGTACAATTATTCAATAAATTCTAGACAAAAATTTTGGTGTGGGTTATCAACATCAAGTACATAAAATAGACTTCTACTCAGAGAGCTCGCCGAGCATTTTCCGAAAAAAAAATAACCTAATCGCTTCATCCGTTGTTTAAAGTTTACACCAATAGTATGACCTTCTATTAACTGATTGATATTCCGATTAAATATCTGGGATTTTTGGCGATCAAATTGTTTGGGGGGAGGGGGGTTTGATTATTAAATTTGGAATGGTTATTTTGACAGTAGACTTTAAAGTGTATCTTCTTGTGGCATTAAATGATGCCACTCAGTTTGAGGTCGTTTCAAATTCTCAATCATGTTGTTCCACTGCCTCTCAGCCGCCTCGGAGTCCGGTTCGATCCCCAGCCGGACCGATCCTATTTCGTCATTTGATCCAAGCAAGTCGTAATCTTTTACAATTAATAACAAATCTACAAGAGGAATTTTAGTCGGTGGGATTTTGAAGGAAAAGATTGTGTTGAAATATGGGTTCAAAGTGCATTTTTTGATCGCTGTCTTGTCTTTGTAGATGATTTTGTCTCGGATTTTTAAAATAATTTTGACGTAGGGGTCCGCTTTTCCATTCCAATCCATAGATTTGAGATTTCTGCATTCGATAATTGTGACACTTAGTTTCGAGGTCGTCGGGTTGTATCTCAAAGACATGCAAACTTCGCCTATGACAGTTTAGTTAAAACAAAAAAACATCGGAAGCATCTTTTAACTTTATTTAAAAAAAAAACATTATTTCCATGAGTCGATTATTTATTAGGAAAAGAAAATTGAGCTCTGTTGTGGGTTCGTCTACAGTAGCGGAATTAGGGTGGGATGACTTTCAAATTCAATCCGGTTATTGCTTTTCAAATACATATGTCATGCTGTTCAAAGAATAAAGAATCCGCAACCCCCTTTCATACTTTTACCCGACATATATTTTTGATCGTATGTCGCGTGAAAGCTTTTCAAGGCCTCTTTTACCGCAAAACACACAAATATAAAGGACAGATCAATACTTTTGTTGGATACAAAAAATTTAAGGTGAAAGTTTTCAAACCTAGGGGATCGTCCAAGGCGGGATTGTAAGCGTACATAGGAACAGAGGCGAATCCGAGTCTCAACTCGTCCTTCAATAACTCCACTATTCCATCCCCTATCGGCATGTCTCGGAGGAATTTGTGGTGTTGATACAGTCTGAGTAAGATCCTACATTTGTCCAGATCATCGACCAGACATTTGAAATTGAACGTCTGAAACAAAGGAAACGTTTTAGGGATGGTCAGCTAAAAAGGAGCACCTTAAAATAGTACCAAATCGGGATACTTTAAATGCAACACCTCCCTCCCCCCCCCCCCCCCATAATTAAGCCCCGGAAACCGGAAAAAAGTACAGTTGGTTGATTTGATTTTGACAAATATATTCAACTTTCTGATTGTTAAAAATAGGTCCAAAAACGACCTTTCTTGTGTCGAAATTTGGTTTTAAAAAGCCAAAAGTCAGAAAAAGTTATTGAAGAAATTACCGAATCCTTCTTTTGCCCAAATCGTGGACACATCGCAGAACATCTAACAAGACAAAGTTAGGCTGTCAAAAAATTACCTTGTTTTCTTCCATAACTAAACCTTTTTTCAATAGGAGTTAAGTCTTATTTTTGATTTCAATAACATTTTGTGCCTTCAATAATAACTAAAAAGTCTAATTGAAAAATGTAAAATCGTTCCGATAATTTATTTTTGTCGGGTTGAGGTAAGGGGGGGGGGGGGTTGGTTTAATTGTTCTCCGTGGGAGACTTTATGGTGAAAAACACATTCAACCATGAAGAGAACAATAAACGAACTGTTAAGTTCTCTTTGGAAAACATAAATTTATTTATGTTGTGCACCTACGACCTATATAAGTTTTTCAAGTTGTTTTTTTTTCTAGACCGGGCAAGGCTGCCTTGTCCTCGCAAGCAACGAGCTCAGATATTGATGGGTCTCGAACCACGGACCTCTCAACTCAAAGCGGAGACCTATATAGTCACTTGCCAATCCCTTCCTAATATTGCTTAATGTTTAAGCTCAGGGGTGAATTTCGGACCTGATCATCCGAAGCATTTTCCCTTTGCTACTTTTACTTGATGTTCTATTTTAGGCGACCAATGCTAAAGTTTTTTAAAAGAGAGACTCTTGGGTTAATTTCAAAGGAGAGCTCGCGCAAAAAAAAAAACAATTTTTAGTTCAAAATTCTCAAAAAAGTGAATAATTTTATAAGACTTTTTATAGTCTTGCGGGAGAGCTAGAAAAACCATTTGTTCAACGTAAAATAAAATCCACTTTTGAAAACCAGACTTTTGTTGATTACTTTTTGAAACCCCCTCCCCTCAATAAAGTCTCTTTTAGATATGACCCTAAACAGTATATATTTATCACCTGGTTGAACTGTGGGTTGAGTGTTTTGGTGACTATTTTGGTCTCGTGCTGCTGGTCCATTTCTGGCACGAGATACACCCGCATGTAAGTGGCGAACTCCTTCATGTCCACGTCCTGCTTGTTAGACAGGGTGATATTCTTCACCTGAAATACATGCACTCTTTAAATTACTATTTCTAAAAAGCAAAAGTTTTTAAATGTAGTCATGTAAATCGAAATAATGATCGATAATAATAGTTATCATAAAATTAATCCTAATAATCATATTAATCATTTTAATAATCAGAACCAAAATCGTAATCAAATTCATTATATTCGCAATTATTGATAAAATAATGAATAGGTCTTAGAGTACGGCTTGTTTTACAACCATAGATTGATACGATTCGTTATTCACCAAGCTTCGACGTTAAACGGACGCTGAAGGTCGGAAAGTGATTGTTAATTCAAAGTCGATAACTTGGATTCGTAAGCTTCATTCCTGGATTTGCCGTTCCTTTTAGAACCACAGTAGATCCTGCAGTTTACTTTCAGAACCCTTCTCATTAAAATGTCAAGTTTTTAAATGCTGCAACTAGTAGCAAGATTCAGAAAAAGAGGGGGAGTCTTTCTTTTTATCCAACTTTATTCAACTTTATCCTTTTTCCAATTTTATACAACTTCCTCTATTGACAACCATCTTAATCAACCATTACGACTCCACGCCCGGTGACATTGGTAATGGTTTGAATTCCAATGTAATTGTCGCCTAAGTCTATCATTTTATCAAAATAAATTCAAACCGTCATGGATTTGAATCGGACAGGAATGTGTGAAACACGCTATGGTGCTTTTGATCAATCAGCCAAAAACCTGCCAAAAATGTTTCGAACCAATTTAACTTAATTTTAAATTGATTTTGATTTGATGCAAATCGAACAACAATGTACATTTGGTAAAAATTTTAAATCGATTTAAGTGTATAAAAATTCAAACTAAATTGATTTGGATGGAATTTTTATTCACAAAATATATACGAATCTTACTTACGTCCATCCAAATTTTACAAAATTTCTATTAAATCTCCTTAAAAGACACCTGAGCAGATCAACTTTGGAGTCTAACAACTCCATTTCAAATCGTTTTATTGAAAAAACTATGTACAAAATCAAAAAAATTGGTTAATTTATGTCAGATTTTGAGCTCAAAAACATGCAACTAAATTGTAGAAAAACCATCAGATTAAATCAAAGTTTGTGCAAAAATCAAGAAAAGGGTAGATATATTTATAACAAATTTTGATCTCAAAATATGCAGCGAAATCATAGAATATTATCAATACAGGCATAAATGGCGTTTCAAATCATTCCAATTTAGAAAAATAGTTTAAAATTTGAAAGTTATGATGATTTTTAATACTGCTACCAGACGCGAAGCAAATGTGAGCAAATGCAACACAAACTTAAAACTGATGAAAAAAAATTGATTTGAAAAACAATCAGTCTAAATTGATATAAATCCGTTTCAATTCCACTAAAAACAAAAACAAAAAAAAACGGAAAAAGGATTCAAAATCAGTTTTGGATCATTTTTTGCTGGGATTTAATATGAATTTTGAATGATGCTAAATTGATTCAAATCAACCCCAGTCTTTGTCTATTCAATCGTCACCTTTTTTCATACTCAAACTGATCTCAGTGAAGCGATATATATATTAAAAATTGCTTAAATTTAGGTGAAACTCCTTTGTAAATTCAGCAGTTGAACAGTGCAATTTTTTCATTTAATGAAGACAAAGTTTTTATCGGTCGCATCGTTAGTCTCAATAACGACAAAACTACCCGAGCACAGAAATTTGGTCATTTTCTTCAGCAGTCTCAGAGATTTTAATGCGAAATGAGGGTTTTTTTTAAAAGAAGTCACAAAAAGAGCAAAAATGGGGTTTATCGCTGAATTCCAGAACAAACAAAAGTAGTTTTTTGTTCTGAATTTTGTTCTGAAGAAAGTGACAGAAAAATTGAGCTCGCGTGGTTTTTCCTCCAGACAATTTTATACCTCTTAACGAGCAACTTTCGACGCATTTTTATATCAGACGAAAAGCATTGTTGTCATGAACTCAAATTTAAAGTCAAACTTTTAGCCTAAAAGCTCAAACTGAGCTTTAAACTCAAAAGCAGTAAACTTTAAATGGTACTTCAGCTATGAATTTTTTTGTAAATTTATGGGGGAGTATAGATTAAAGTTTTTGCCAGTTTGGGCTATTTAACGCGCGAAAAATATCGTGATAATAATGCGTAGGCGGAGTTTGAATCCGTCTTATAAATCGCTTCAAACTGAAATAAGGCTTGCAAATTGAAATAGAACTTTGAAAAAAATGCTATATGCAAAGTATATCACTCTGTATTTTACACAATGTGTGGAAGATGATTTAAGAAAATAATTAAAACAGGGAATTTCTGATTAATTTTTTTTCATGAAACTTTCATGAATTTTTTTCAAAGCGAAAAAGTCATTTGAAAATAACAGGTTGTCGGAACTTTCTAAGCTTCGCCCTGAAACAAGCATTCTTGTTAGATTTTTGTGTAGAAATCATTTGATTCTGGAGTCTAGCTACATAAGCCTAAAACATTGAAAACATGTGTCCCTTAGGTTTTAGAAGCGAATAAGCACAATTTTGGCTTCTTTTGCAGAGCCAATATTGACCTCTTGCTGCACAGTTTTCAAACTTTGTGAAAACTGCTTTAAGCAACCAATAATTGCCATTTTTGATTGGCGAGCGGGCGCCAAATTTACACTGTTTTTTTTTTCAAATTAAACCATCCAAACTCTATCAAAGAACGGCGTTTTTGACATTAAAAAATTTTTCTGGAAGAATTTGGCCTATTAACTGAAGAATTGAGAATAACAGAAAATTGAGTTTGAAAGAGCCTATTTTTTTTTTTGAAAATCTGCCGCCTCGTGCATCAAATAATCGCGTTCTTCTGATACAGTCAATGTTAGCTGCAGCTGTGAATTTACCTGCAGGATCTCGATGTCCAGTTTGGCTTCCAAGTAGTTGTATTTGAGAATGTAATCCACAATGCCCAGTCTCTTTTTCCCCTTCATCCTTGTCTTATAGTTGTCCTATAACCAAAAAAGCACTTGCTTATTTTTTGCTATAACTGCTTTTCAAAGTATATTCAGTGTTTATCTCACCGAATTGTTCCATCGAAAGAAGATGGGTTAGCAAAACTATTCAAATGTTAGAACTTTTTGATGTTTTAATAGCTTTTTAGCGAAACGAAGTTTTTTGAAAATTTTATTCATTACATTGCAACTATGATTGGAAAGCCATTTTGTGATTGAATTTGATTTACATTGAGTTCGATATATAGATCTAGGTATACATTTTGTCGTGATGTTCTTTGTTTTAATTCAAACATTGACCAGTTGTTAATTGCAAAAAATGGAGTGGCTCTAAATTTTCATAACTAACCGACCTCTTTCAAAAAAAATTCAAGCAAATTTTTTTAAAGAAGAATTCTAAATGAATTGCGCACTAATATTTAGGTATTTAGTATTTTACTTATTTTCGAAATTTAATTGAACACATCAGATTGAAGAAACAGGAACTTACGTTTTTTCATCAAAAGCTCTTGTGTAAACACAACTTATAAGAGCATGTTAGTATTGAGATAGGAAAACCGAAATCAAACCTGTAGTGTCTTTTTTAGTTGTCTTTGTCTGTACCATCGGAAGAAAAAGAACCCCATGGCTGCCAGCAGAATAACCACAGCGGCTACTATTATTCCTCCAAAAATAAAGATACTATGCGAAGGACCCGAATCACCCGAGTTTTCATTTTGACCGCCAAGAGTCGAGTTTCCGCCATCCGTTTCATTCGAATTTGGCGCCAAGGTTGGTGTTGATGTTGTTGTTATTGGTACAATCGTAGTTCCTGAAGTTGTTCCGCTAATGGTGCTTTGCACATTGTTGTTATTATTGTTGTTGTTGTTGTTGTTGTTGTTTCTTTTCGATACGTTTGGGTTTTTGTTTCGTTTATTTAGGTTGTCGAAATTATGATATGTTTCGCGAGCTTCTGAAATTAAACTTCGATCTTGTCTTTTTTTCGTATTTTTGAACCCGTTTTTGTCAGATGTTCTTTTCCGTTTACTATCGGACCCACTTTTGAAAGCTCTTTTTTGCATATCTAGGGCACGGGAACAGATAACGTTTTTGGAAATTTAACCATACCAGAGAAGAACTTTTGATGTTAAGTTTGACTAAAAACAAGCAGAGTTCATTTGATATAAACGTTTAAAAGCTTTAAAGTTTATGTGCCTTGCTTTAATTAAAAACGTATTCTACGCTAACGTGGTTCATATTTGCTTTAACCATAGCTTTTGAATAGATGAAAGCTTCGCTGTATTATAAAAAGACGAATAAAGATTTGCATCACAAACTTATATTGTTATTTACGAACTGAAAACTAAGGCATTTTCATTAAGTTTTGAGAGCTTTGACATTTGAAACCAAATCTCTTACTTATGTTCTTGCTCAGAATCACAACAGAAACCGTGACGCAAATCACTTGATAAGTCTCAGCAAAATTGATCGGTTTCAATTCAAAATATGCCAAGTCAAAAAACAGGAGGCAGGAGAGGAGGGTTTGCTTCAGAAACTTGACCTTTTTTCTGATCATCCCTCATTTTGTTACTACTTTACAGCGACTATTTAAAAATATCTCGTGAAAACAAAACCAAAAATGATATAGCAAAACCAAATACAGTGCAAAAAAAAACTGAAGAAAAAAACGCGCAAGAAAACTAACAATTACATGGTGTATATAAACTGTGGAAACTGCTTTTAAACAATAAACGCGTAAGACAGAAGAAAAAACTCCTTGAGAGCTAGATTGACTTCTAAGAATTTTGAAAAAGGTTTCAAAAAAGTACAATAAAAGATAACGGAATCACAAGGAACAAAATTATGTTTTTTGCATTCAAAAAAACTAAAAACTACGCGAAATTTCTTCAATTTGTTAATGGTTTCCAGTTTTCACAGAGCAAATAAAAGAAGATTGGAATTGTTATGGGGCAGACTTGTTGTTTCGACTTTCGATTGGAAAGTGACGGAATATTTTGCTCGGGGTGGGTTTTTTTTCTTCAGACAAATTTCGACTTTTTAATTTGCAATTTTTGACGAATTTTTTTTATTTCATTCGAAAAGTATTGCTGTCATGAGCTCAAATTTGAAAAGATGTTTTACCTGTGATCATTTTTCGTAAAGTTATGGGGGTTTAAAGATTGCCATTTTGGCTAATTTCGGACAATTAACGCGCGATATATTTAGCGCTTTTAACGCCTAAGCGGAGATTTAATCCGTCTTGAAATCGTTCCAATTTGCTTGAAAGAAGCTTATTTGCCATAACTGATTTGTTACAAGGAAGGAAATCTATCCTTTTGTACTTTAAATGGCGTGTGGGGTGTTGATTTTCATAAAAAAAGTTCAAAGTTTAAGAAAAAAAATTTTTTATTTTGTTCTATATAATGGTTTTTTTAATGTTAGTACTGCTCCACAAACCTTAAAAGGAAGTCGGAACATTCAAGGCTTTGCCCTGATACGAGCATTCTTGTTAAAAATTGAATACGTTAGAGGGCTCTCAAATACTTTCATTTTTCTGGCGACAAATGTTGCTGTGAAACTTCAATCTTGCGTACAGGTGTGTTGTTAGGCAAAAACTGGACTTACGAATTCAAATTTTAAAAAATCCTTCAATAATTATTGTTTTAAAAAAAAAATTTTTTTAACAAGCGATCTCTCTTATATTGAACGTTTTTGTACAAGGTAATAAATTATTCTAATTCTATGATTCTATATTTACAATTTATGTAGATAAGCCTAAAAGGATAAAACGGTAAAAAGGAAGTAGTTGAATTAAGATCGTTAAAATGGACAACTGAACCTCTGTTCATATCGACCAATGGTCGTAACTAAGATGTTTAACAGGTACTAATTAAAATACCGAAGGTCATTTTAAGATACTAAAAACAAATCACAACATTTCCCACCGGGAAAAAAATGAAACTGCAAACTAACTACATAACTCTATATACAACCTTTTTCCCCCTCCGAAATTGGAAGAATTTTTCAAACTGCACCCAGAAGGTAAATATACAGAAGCAACATAGAATCCACAATTGAAAGAGAATGTACAAATGTACAGGGTGACTATACAGAATTACAAAATTTACCGTATACAGTAACTAACTAAATAAAACTAATCCACAACATGTACATCAACATGTACAATTGTATTTACAGGTAAAATTAAAAAGTCCAGCGGTAAAATATGGATTAAAGAATTGTTTTGTTCAGTTTAATTTGACATGTCGATTAATTGAATTGATCATCAAACTCATCCAATTTAGCCTTTACTTCCGAATCTATAATCGATGAGATCTCGCTATAGTTGTCCACCTCGAGCGTGGGGTCCTTCGAGGTGGGGTAAGTTAGATTTGAGTCCGAAGAATTCTCGTGAAGGTGAGTTTTCGTGGTAGAGGTTGCTGGTCTGACCGTCGGGAGGGAGTTCCTTGAAGACCAGGACAACTTGGTTTCCGCGACGAGAATCTGTGGAGTCAAAAAGTCAGATGGAGAGGTGACCGAGAAAGTAGTCCTATGGAAGTCCGGTGCCGGAGAGAATACGGAATTTGACGCCCCCAGGTCATCTTTCTCTAGAACCACACCTATAAATCTGCGATTTCCGTAAAACTGTGGGGCCCACATTTCTGCGTGGTCTAGAATTTCGAGTCTTTAGAGTCGCGCTGTTCATCTGTTCCGGAATACTGTCTACCAAAATTGGATTGTCTTGTGATCGTTCAGTAGTGGTCGCATCGTGGATGACAACAATCTCTCGGAAGTGGTTGATCTCTGGCCTCTCTGAGCTCTGTTGTGGAGATTCGACAGGACCTGTAATACTTAAGCCATGATTAGACTCGGTATGGGGGTTTTGAGGTACGTTATTATTGGTCACATCGTCAAAATAATCCTCGATTATCCCGTCCCACGAATCTAGATTTAAGGAAGATGAACCTGAAGAAAATCTTGGAGAGTCTTGAGTGGCTGTGATCGCGGTCGGTGCACTCGTCCCTGCTCTGGTGTTATCCGTCCTTGAGGTGCCTTGACCCGAGTGTCCAGCGGGTGTCGATAAAGCTTTCTTCGGTGGAGAGAGTTTCCTTTTCCCAGCTAAACTCGAATGAGTATGAAGATTATGCCCAATGGTTGTCTGATTCACTATTATCTTTTTGGGCCCAGGGAGTATTTTTCCTTTTATAGCCAGATCCGATTTACGTAAAACGTGACCGTTGTCAAGAGTAACTGTGTGCTCTGAAGAATCGATGCTTACTTTCTTAACCAGATTAAAATATGGGTCCCTATTTTTCCTGTTAGACACCTTTCTATATAAGTTACCTCCCATTACTGCTTTTCTTTTTGCCAGAGGTTCTGAAGTTCGGATAGTGACGTCCGGGGTTGTGTGTAGGTTGAAAGTCCTAGATAGTGGCATGCTTTCTTCTGGATCCGACGTGCTGTCCTTTTCCTCGTCCATATAACCATCTTCTGCCCCGTCGTGGAGTTCCCAATTAGTGGCCCGATCTTTGGACATTATAGCCTTCCCTTTATCTAAATGGTCAATATTGGACATAAGACTTTTCCACCTAGTGTTCGCTACTCTACTAAAATGCTTTTCAAAAGGAGTACAGCCAATCGCAGATTGCTTTGTGATTCTCAAATTCTAGATGATTTTCTCGATCGATTCGTTTCGAGATGGCTTGGGTAATTCGAAGGACATTGCCAGTAATATCGATTTAATTGTGTACACTAATTTTTTCACTAGCCCATTGGATCTGTGGTCTCCGACTGTGCAGTAAATAATTTCCATAATGATTTTATCGTAGAAGTTTTTGAAATCATGTGAAAAGAAGCATGACCCATGATCGACTCTAATTTTTCTTGGGAATCCGTGTAGGTGACAGTAATCGTTTAAAAATGAAATTACATTTCTTGTAGAGGTGTTGTTAGCGATCTTGGCCGAAGGAAACTTTGTGTAACGGTCGATGCAAAGAAGGATGTATTTGTTGTTACCCCAGCACGCGTCCAACGGTTGCAAAATCCAAATTAATTTCTACGTTCGCGAATGTCAACGTCGGGAGTTTCGAAATATTATGGGTGCCTAGTAATACTTTAATGTTCTTACCCGCTCTTAGACATTGGCTACATGTTCTCCCGTGATGGTAAATTTCCCGGTAGATATGCGGCTACCACAAGTATTCGGCGAGAGATTTCATCCCAAACTGTCCTGGATGAGTCTCATGTAGCATCGAATTAAAAGTTCCCCTGATGGTAGCTGGGACGACTAATTTATTGTCTAAGAAGAGTAGCTCATCCTTCACGTGGAGATCTTTGGCATAGTTCATCATGTAAGTCCCGTGTATGCCCATAGGTCGATTCCTCTTTATCGTGTCTATCAAATCCCACAGCATCTTGTCTTCTCTAGTCATGATCTGAAGCAATTTCTTCGAACAGTGGTTTTCCGGGCGAATTGGGGAATTTGGTAAATTCAGGTCGGCCTTATATCTTCTTACGAGGTCTGCGGGGTCGGGTGGAAGTCGGTCGTCTCTGAATTTGAGGGCGATATTATGTTCTTCGGGAATGATCAAGAGAGGTTCGTTCACTTTATCTATTGGGAGTTCTGGTTGTTTCTTGCTAGATGGTATGAAGTGTCTGTTTAGCAATAAAAACTGTAGAAGGACTTTGTCCGAAAAGGTAATACTTTTAAAATTAAATTTCGAATTATCGACAGGTTGGCAAATTGTAGTGCAATTTTCTGTCCGAGAGTGTTGATTGTGGTAAATTTTTATCGACTGAGTGATACAAGATATGATAGCAGCAATAATCTTGAGATTAAGTAAAGCTAAAGAGCTATTCAACCGATTTTGACCAATCACGTCGCTTGAATTTTCGTTTCCCGACGGGATTGTATTAACTCGTGTATTATTATTTACAGCGACCGCTGGTCTATCTACAGAATTTACAGTAACTATTTTAGAATATTGTTTAGTCAAAAAGATGTTCTGAATTTTGTCGATTGAAGCGACTACAAATTCGTCGTCATAACGGGAAATTGGAAGGGCTTTGCCCGAAGGAAGTCTAGATAAGAGGTCTGTAAAGCCCATGTCTTTTCCTGGTAAATGTGAAATTTTAAAATTAAATGGTAAAAGTCTGTTTACCCAATGGGTCAATCGACTATGCATCGTTTTGTTTCCATGATTTGCCGAAAGTGCTGATAGTAATGCTTTGTGATCATCTGTTACTATTTGAAATTCCGTTCCGTACAGGTAGTTTCTGAAATGTT